GGGAGAGGATTTGGGAGAGGACCCTCCCTGGCGGGCCAGCCCCCCTAAAATAAGCCTAGTAACGCCACTGCTTCTCTTATCAGATTGATGAAAAAATGGATATAAAATTTTCTTTTGTTGTAAAACCTCTGGGACGATAATGACAACATTTATTAGAGAATAGTTTTGTGAATTCTCAAGCTGTGGAGGAAGACAACGAGGATATTAAAAATAAGGATCTGAAACTTTTCCTCAACCCTTTTTTTAAATTATTTTTCTCCGTTTTGATGGAAGCGTTGTTGCACCAAATGTCAGAGCTTCGGTGAAAAGCTGCAGAATATCAACGTGAGGTTTGATGGATATGAAAGCAGCTGAAGTTTTTTTTTTTTTTTTAATCTAGTGACTGAGTCTCGGTGTTATTGTTCTGATCCGGCATGTTCCAGACAGAGCAGAGTACTCAACAAAAGCCTGAGTCACTGCTAGATTTATGCATGCAACACTCCTTTCAGCGCGAGCAGAATAATCAGAACGTGGTGGCGTTTTGTTAGCTGCGTGCAGGAGAAGGTCGGCTGGGAAACACAGCTCTGTGATGAAGGTGATGATGAAACAATGGCTCTTCATGCAGGTTGTCAGAGGGCCGCAGCTTCTAATTATCTCMATTAATGCGAGCGAAACGTTTGTAGCTTCTCCACGCTTCATAATTCACGCTCCGTTTGGGCCTCGCTGTTCCGCCTCCTTTGCCAGCAGACGGGATCAGGACTGCGGTGAATAATTAACAGTCKGAGCTGATTTCTTTCTGACCAAGTTTCAGGCTTTTTGTTGTTTCAGAAACCTTTAAAAAAAAAGAGGTTTAATGAAATTTCTGCCTCCGCAGTTTGCAGGAGGGTGGAGTTAATCATCCAGGCTGAGATTATTCAGCGTTCGTGTCGTGCAGTCGCTGCTCCTCAGGCGACATCCCGGCCCTTATTTAAAAAAACACCACCAGATGCTTGTCACTCTCTGGTTTCTCAGCCTCTGATCTGCTGCAGCCTCTCATGAAATCTGCGTTTATTAAAGCAAAACCTGCAGCTGATTCCACAACTGACATTTTACTGTGTGAATCAGCTGCAAGGTGTCGTCTCGTCACTCAGATTAAACTTCAGGTGCTAAAATTAATAGATCTATAAACGGGATTACGAGTGTTACTCAAGCTGGGTATGGAGGACCGAAACTGTCATAATTAGAAATAAAAGCAGAAATATATAAATGGATCAATAAATAAATAAAAACACTTAAAATGCACCAATTCAATTAAAATTTTTACCTCATGTTTCATCATTTAATTGGCCTTCATATTTATTTTTCCAGCTTAGTTC